TGCTGGGATCGTACCCATCGTCTTCAAACTCGGCATACTCATCGGCATAGCACGACATTTCCTCAGCATCACCTGCATCACTTCCAACAGCTACTTCATGTTGATCATCTCTCAATTTTGCTTTCTTACGTTTCTTCATTGATCTCTTGGGAGATTTAACATCGGATCGTCCAACGGAGTCGGAAAGATCCTCAAGCTCATCCCCACTTTCTCCATCAATGACCAAAAGACCTTCGCCTTCGGATGTTGAGCATCCATCATCAAGAACTGCCATGATCTTTTCCATACAGGATGATTTTAACTTTCTCTTCTCTTGATCGACACTCACATAGGGAATGTAGTCTTTGACAGTCATTTCGATGATGTTGCCATTGGGATCTAACATGAAAGGAGTTCTTCCAGTCGGCCATACGAATGAGTATCCAAGGTCAACGCACCGCTTGCCCATGGAGATCACAGAAGGCGTGTCTTCCAGAATGTGAGCTTCTGCTGGTTCGTTGAATGCCTCAAACTTGATACTTGAACGTTTGGTCGAACATGTTACCCCATTTGCTGTATGGAAGTTGACGACTTTGTCATCGTATGTTGGGAGATCCATTCTACTTATTCGTGTAGATGAGATGAGATCATGACCACTTCCAGAATCCAATATGAATCTCTTATCTCTTTCCTCAACAGGAACAGTGATACACATTGTGTTGCCCCTTTTACCATATCGACCCTCAACGTGCTGAACATAGTTCTCCACAAAGACTTCCCTAGACACCTCACCGTCCTCGATGTCGAGTCTGATCAGAATGTCCAGGCTGGGGCCGACGATGACCAGGACTTCATCAATGTCACTGTACTCACCCTTCTCATCGATCAGAATAGCCATTGCTTTCCCTCGGCTCGATGCTAATCTGCATGAATAAGACCATTGCTCATCTTGCCTTATCTGATCGGTGGGCTTACCAACCTTACCATGACCTTTGGAGATGGTTTGGGACTTCCGGCTGCACTTCACGAAGTCTTTCTTCACGTACGTTTGGACGTAAGTCTTAGACTCATCGAATCTGACCTTCTTCTTGATGACGTTCGATGCAACCTTGTGGAATGTCCCTTCGTCATCACTCCATTCATGGACAAGTGCAGGGGTAGCCTTTGAGCCTGATGCTTCGGTGTTTGGAGCAGTGTTGAATAGATGAGGATCATGGCGTTTGTTGCATTTGTCTCCATATCGGCACTTGCCCTTAGCCCAGTGCCAGCATGGTTCATCAACCTTCTTGGTCTTGTTCGCTGGAGATTGACTTCTTGGAGTTCCTGGCTTTCGACCATTACCTTTTGCGTTCTTATTCGCATCAAACACCTTTTGATCGTGACTGTATTCACAATCTTTGCCTTTTCTGCATGCTTTCTTGATGAAGTGGAAGTGGCATGGGATCTTCTTCTTGGACCTAGGACTAGCACTTCGGCTGTTTGGTCGATCCTTTCCTTTCCCTTGACCTTTCCCTTTTCCTTTTGCATGCTGTTTCGGTTGAGGTGATGGTAGAACTGGAGCTGCATCGGCCTTGGCCTTCGCCTTAGGTGCTGCCTTCTCCTTGGGAGTGGCTTTAGGCTTCGCTTTCGGATTGGCGTCTGGTGCAGCAGCAGTTGGATTCGGGGCAGGAGCAGTAGGCTTGCCGCCGCCGCCTGCAAAGTCTCTTGCGTACTTCTCCCTAGCGGCCACATGCTTGTCTTCTCTAATTCTGGAGATGTGCCTTTCGATGACGTCCAACAGGTAGCGATAGCTTCGTCTTTGGTCTCCTTCAATCCATGACTCGTACTGCTTGATGTCAAACATCATAAGACTCGAGTTTCGAATCTTCTTGTAGAGAGCGTCACGAAGCCAATCATCAGGAGGTACATCATCCGGCATCATGTTTGATACCATCTCCATCCATTTCTCGTAGAACACTTCCAGGTTCGAGTCACCGAGATATTTCATTGATACGATGTGCTCCATGGTGAATGCTGTCTCTCGTTGACCTGGGGTTCTGAAGTGTTCCAAGATCATAGCCAAGATTTCTCGTCCCATAACGTAGGTTCCTCTTCGGCTATGACTCTGTGTTCTCAATCTCAGTTTGATTGCTACATGACGAGCAACATCACCGGCTTGGGCTATCACGTTTGACAATGCAATTGACAACTTGGCGTCAATTGACTGATATCGTTGCCCTCCACTGTCATTCAATAGCTCGATGTCAGGATTTGGTCGAATAGCCGGCTGTAGCCATGCTTCCCATGCAGCTTTGTCCCCATCATTTGCGGCAAGAACAACACTCTTGATGAGATCTGATTGCCAAACCCCAAGATTCTGTTGCTTCGGCCATGGGCTAACGTAGACTTTGTCAGCCTCACGTCTTGACATTCTCGGTACTTCTTCTGCCGTGTACGCCGCTGTGGAGATGTCATCCGCTGAATCACGTTGTGATCCTCGAACTGAAGGCAAACCAGGAGGTTCTGGAGGTGATCCTGGACCGTTGGGCCCGAAAGGGTCAGGAGGTCCATCAGGGTCAGGCGGACCGCCCCATCCGCTCGGAGGCTTGTAATAGTCCTTTTCAGTTCCATCGGCGATCTTGTTGTCAACTTCTTTCAGCAGATCGGTGATTCTTTTGTTCGATAGAGAGGATTGCTGTTGAGAAGGTCCAGCAGGTCCGCGATAGGAATGAGCCATATTTGTCTCATAGGTCAACTCCTTGTCGATCTGCGAAACCCAAGATTTTAGGATAGCGTTCTCAGAGTTAGCCTCACTCACGTCATTCTCCAGTTTGTCAATGACCAGTCTTGATGCGAGATCATAGTTGGGGATGCCTGCCGAATAGGGAAGCGTATCAGGGCTGACCCTAGACATAGATGTTTCAGAATCTTTGAGACTCTTTCTTAGTTCATCTAGGTGACGTTTCATGTCAACAATCTCAGAATTCTTGATACCAATCTTTTCATCCCTATCCTGAATTTCCCCCATGAACATGCATGATCTCTCATATTGTTGAACACCACTAGCCAATTTCATTTTGCGCTCACTTTCTAGTTCAGATCTTAAAGTTCGGACTTCAGCATTGGAGAAGGACGACGCCCCTACATCCGCAACTTCAGCCAATCTCTCTTTTAACAACATGTTCTCTTGTAAACATTCATGAACTTCATGATCTAGATCCTGAACCCTGATTTGAGCGATTTTGGCTTGATTACGTAGATCTTCAACAAGCATTTCATCGGGGCCACGACCGTCGGTCGTAGTGCCCTGAGTCAACGATCTTCGCAACTTCATGTTCTGCAACTTGATCTCATCCTTTAATTCGCAGTTCATCTCCTGCTCGTTGGTGTAGAGCTCTTCATAGTGCTCTGCCCTTGCGATCGAATTTGCACTAGCCTGCGATTCAAGCCTCAGGTGTGATATCGCTTCGGCCTCATGGTTCCTGTATGATGCAATTCTTCTGACAGTATCATGTTCAGTATTTCGATGCTTCAGATCACTTTCCAACTTGGCCTGATTTGCCTCGAAAACTTTCTTTCTAGATTCTCTAGTGATCTCTTCGATACTGCTTTCATACAACTCGGCCTGTTTACGAGACTGAACCAGAGCTTCACTCAATAGCTGATTCCGTTCAGACAATTCATGAACTGTAATTGATTGTTGTTGGCTAATCACTTCAAGTTGATTGCTAGAGAAGGATGCCATTTCGGATCGATTACGATATTCCATGATTGAGTTCTGGAAATCTGTCTGCATTTCTTGACCTTCATTGTATAGTCGATTGGCAATATCGGTGGTTAAGACATTGGTTTGATGAAGTTGTTGCAGTCTTGCCTCCGTATTACCCAATAGTCCTTGAAGGTGGTGTACTTCATCCTTGTACTCTTCCTGGATCTCCATACCACGTTGATGGATCCGTCTTGCACCATGTTCCATTAGGGCACCTCGGCGTTCAAGGTCTTGGATGCGTATTGTTGCACCTTCGTCTTCCTGAGATGCTACCATTAGTTCTGCTTGATATTCTGCAACCTCATTTGCGGAACATGACAATCTATGATTGAGTGCATTGACCTCATCAATTACATTCTGGTTGTGTTCCTGAAGATACTCAGTGAATCTGATCTCGATGTCATGAATCAGTTGATCTCTAGATGCAGCGTATGCTTCCATGTGGTTCAACTGATTACGTAGGGATTGACATTGTGCCCGTAGTTCTTCTATCATGGCAATAGGTTCACTAGCCACAGAAGTATCCGTTGATCTCCTCTTAACACGATTATCCCCGGTCCTCTCACCAATTCGGTCGGTCACGGCCCTGGTGGATCTGTCCCTTGGGGTAGTTCGTCCTCGGGATGGTCGATGCCCTTGGCGGACAACATCACTTCGAGCACTGTTTCGAGAAGATCTTGGTGTACTTTGAGTGGATATTCTTCGTCTGTTTGATGTAACTTGCCATCCGGACTGTGTAGTTCGGGTAGAGCGTATCCCACCACTGTCTGCCGTGTCGCCAGGGGAAGATTGATTGACCTCCTCGACCGGCATAGCAGTGTTCTCATTGAAGGTAAACTGCGTGGTGCGCGAATCTCCGCTGCCGCCTTGCATCTTTGCGATGATGAGCTGATTGATCCTTTGCGTCCTCAATCAATTGCTCAGAAGGCTCGGCTACCAGCACGCAGGTACCACTCTCCCGACGGGAGAAGTGAGCCCTACGGCTGATAACCTGTGAACAATTTGATCCTTGTCCTGGATGTTATCTCAATCTTGTAGTACCCTTGTTACTGGTAACCGATGAATGCCATGCGGAGTCACGCGACGCATCCCTTTTCTCCATACGCTTGAGCCATTGTTTGGCGGTCACAGCATGTTGTCTTAACAGTGCATGCTGTACATGTTGTGTCATCTCGTTCCCTTTAACATATATATATATTATGTATATCATAGATTTTGCTATAGACATGTTTATAAGCAACTGCTTGAAACCTGACATTTTTTGGTTCCCGACCTGAAGGTCACGCAGCTGAGCCTTCAGATGGAGCGTCACGTCTCCATGGCGCTGCTCCGCACGCTGGTGTTCGCTGTGGGCTTCGGCTAAACGCTGTTCCAATGCAGCCACCTGCCACGAAACTACCCACGAAATTGATATGAATAGATACTATATATATATATATATATGTATATTGATATATACACTGTATGTTCATTTATGCTGTTGTGTATGTACCTACTTATTTTATGCTTTGATGTCTTTGTCTACCTGGTATTTGTTTATTTGGTTCTTTACGTAATTCGTTTACTGATGTGATTACTTCTGTATGTATGTGTGTATGTGTGTATGCGTGTATGTGTGTGTGTGTCTGTGTGTGTGTCTGTATGTATGTATGTCTGTACGTCTGTCTGTCTGTCTGTCTTTCTGTCTGTCTGTATGTCTGTATGTCTGTATGTCTGTCTGTCTCTGTGTCTCTGTACGTACGTACGTACGTACGTATGGGGGGGGCTAGGTAGGTTTTGTATGTATGTAGATTAATAAACATAGTGTAAGACAAAAACAAACTTTAGACAGATTCGACATTCGATTGTCCTGCCTTTTGCAGGTACGTTCTGCTTGGGACGTTAATTGGATATACAGAAGGCTGAGTGCTAGTTTCTGCGAGTTATTCTTCAACACACTGTTGATGTCATCTCGGCTTTCACAGCTTCGTCAGCATCAAAATCCACACGCCAATCATTTCGATGGCAATGGGAAATTCCCATCTTGGCATCTAACCCCCCAAAACCCCGATCCCCAAGCGCACCTGAGCGCCAGACATCCGATCCTCCTGTTCAGCCCTGAGAGCCTTTCGCGCTTCATGCAGCTGAACAGAGGCCTCCCTGTGCTCCACTTGCAGAGGCTCCACCTGAACCAGCGAGGTCATCCAGCTGCTGTAGCTTCAGAGGTCACCTATCCCCAAATATAGTAAGTGGGATGTACCTTGGATATGCAGATGTAACAAATCATGCGTAAAGACCCAAATATACGGTTAGTATCACCTCTATGTATATTATGATTATATATATATGTATGATTATATATATATGTATGATTATATATATATAAGCGCGTGTGTCCCAGATTTTATGTGGGGAAAATATCGGAAAAAAATTATGTTTGGGGCTTAAAATCCCACACAAACAGCCAATAAACCTTTTTTTGGAGACCTCAATTAAATCCCCATGTGAAGAATAGTAACTAGTTGGTAAATCTCAGATTGAAACCCTGTTTATTTGCCGATACCCAAAGATAGCATCTTTATATGTCAACATTAAAATCCATGGTCTATCATCATTGCCCCATTAGAATTGCCATAGGCTGGGGCCAAAAAACAAGCTATAGATCCAATTTAAAAAAAAAAAAAAGATTGTCAACATTAAATCACCCAACCTCATAGGTAAGCCCAGTTGTAAAACCAGACAGTAAACCAATCTTCGTTTTCTCAAACTCAGCGACAAAAATTGGTTTTAAACCCAGTCAAAAACCAGTCACACCACCATCACCCACTTTCCAAAAGTTGTGGTATCTACTTGGGATATGATATGCCATGATATGCCTACAAACTCTATCCAGTATCCCAATATTAAAAGTCAGAAAACATCTTTACCCATCAAGTTGATGGTTGATCACCATTTCCCCATCAACATCTCTCAATCTTTGGTATACCTACAGTATCTCTGGTATATCAATCTTTAGCCATGGCACAACATAATGATCGAATATGATCGAATACATACATTCATTGTGGAGTGCCCCCCAAAGATATCTCACATGCATCATAATTTTAAAATGTCTAAAAATAGAAATCCAAATTGGTTGATCATCAATTTACCCAACTTCCCCAGTAAGAATCGCCCTCTTAAAATGAGAGCCCAAAAACCAGAAGAGTGTCCGTCCACCAAAATTTAGAATTGTATCATGTAATTGGGATCTCTTATACCCCTGCAACACCTATGTATATTATATTCATATACACAATTATACACATATATTGATGGAGTTCGTACTTTCCGTTGTTGATCATCATTTTGTTCCCCAGTAAAAATATCATGTAATCCACATTCCAAATATTGGAGTTCCCCATCCCCCAAAAGAACAGAATCGCATTTTTCCAAAAAAAGTCGAGTTGTCACATCATTTCCCCGGTTTTTATTGTAAAAATACCACATTCATCCAGATATTGATGGATTTCTCAGAAAAAAAACGGGTATCACGGTATCCCCAATTCCAATGATTATCATCATTTTCCGTACTCAAATTGTTTTTTATTGATGGAGTCTTCCCATTTACAGGGTTGAACATCAAAATAGAAATGCCATCTGGATGCTGGAGGTAACCCGATGTTAGGAAACCTCCATACATTGATGGAAGCCCAAATCTCATGGTCTTGGTTATGTAATGTCAAAAATATCCCAATAATCCAGGATCTCCCCACAAATTCCTATGGAAAATCACTAGTTCAATTCCATGAAAAATCATTTTCCCATAAGCCATGAGTCAAAACGCACCCGTTTAACCATCCAAAATGGCTGGTTTTATCCATCCCCATGTTAATATGTTCCAAACAAAACTCAGAAATCCAATGGATTATCATCATAATCCTTGATTTTGATACATGATTTACCCGCAAAAAAAATATTCATGGAGTATATCTGCTAATATTCCCCAGTCATATATGGGTAATGTAATATATGTTTTTTTTTAAAAAAAAAAAAGTATTTTCCCCAAAAAATCCTCCGAAATCGCACCTGGCTATGCAAGACTTTCAGCTCCAGTCGCGCCGCTTCCACCTCCGCCTTCTGCCGTAGCACCTCTTGGGAAGTGCTGGCCTTGGCGTTGCTGAGATGCACGGCCACCTCCGCCTTGGCTGCCTGCCATGAGTCGAAAACCTATGGCTTTTCCCATGGCTTTTCCCATGGCTTTTAGGCAGAAACCGGGAGAAAATGCCGGTTTCAAACCATCCCATCTGCAAAAGTGATGGAAAAAATCTGGGAAAACCGAGCCAAGTCTCCAAATTCTCCAAAATCCAGAGAGGCCACCAATGGGAAAATATGGCCATGGAACCAAAATTCATTGAAGATTTTTGAGTACCACGGAATCTACCATTGGATAGTTCCATTGGTTCTGGAATGTCATTGATTCGATGGGGATTCCAACTAAAATTGGGGTTGTGATTCAATGGAAGTGGACCGCGATCAACGGCTTGAAGGTGCCGATGGACCTCAAATTTCTGGAGTGCCAAATGAAACGCATGAGATTTCCACAATAGGAGGTTCAGCCAGCCCAAACAGGTCTTCAAAAATATTGAGATGTCTGCCCGGAAAAAAATAGATAGATAATCGGATAGATAGTTGAACCAGCCACTGAAATCTTCATCCCCCAACTTTTTGCTCAAAAAACCGCAGCCAGGCTTGGGGATGATCATCTAGTGACTACGTCACAACGTCTAAGCTAAGTCCCAAACAAAGCTGATCCTAAAAACTCATCATCCATGAATCATCCCACTGAATTCCCTGTGGAAAAATGTCACTGGTGTACCCCCCAGAATCCGATGGGTCACCACTTTCCCCATGAGAATCATGACAATTAGAACTGAATTGTTTCGAGTATTATAAACAATTGTTTGGGATGATTCTCTCCGATTTACATCTTATCAAAACTCTTATTTCGAGTGGTCAATCATCATTTTCCCTCTTAAAACACAAAAAAATCCGGCAACATGTTTTTCACATGGCATGGCTTTTGGGAAACATGATGATGAACCACTGGATTTGAGATGATTTGAGAAAGCCATCCGACGTTCCGCCTCCTCTGCTTCTCTGCGATTGGCGGCCTCCTTTCGGAGCTCTTCGGCTTGATCTTCGAGGCGCCTCTGATGTTCCGCTTCCCGGGCCTTCAACATGGACTGAAGCTCCTGGCCATGGGACCATCCATGGGACTGGGAGATCCATGGGACCGATAGGACCCACTGATTTCAGTAAAAAGTGTGTTGTTTGTTTAAAGAACTGTTGATATTGGTCATCTTTAACGAACTGCTAGTCATGTTTAGTACTCTAAGTTTTCTTGGGTGAAGAAGGAGGAGTTGGTTTGAGGTCGAACAAACCGGCACTTTTTTTTTCGCATCCAGCGGGGAAAACTGAAATATCCTGAGACTTTCAATTAACAATTATAGTTTGATTTTGAAAGTTTGTTCCAGTGGCAAAACACCATATGTGTATAATATATATATATCATATGTACATATATACATCTAATATGTGTATATATATATACACAGTATGTATGTATATATATATATATGTTTTCACCAGCTCATATCAACTCATCTAATCTCCCAAGACATGAACCCAAGCCACATCGGCACTCCTGTTGATGCTCCTCCACCAGCCTTTCCCGCTGCCGTGCCAAAGCATCTGCCTGTGCTTCACGTCGCGCGTCCAACTCACTTCGAAGTTCTTCCAGAGATCGACTTGCTTTGGCAGACTCCTCGGGATAGGTGGAATTGGTAGACTCTCTAAGACATGAGCCATGGTTATTATAAAATATTATAAATCCCGAGTGGAACCATTGGATGACTAGCCCCGTTTTTAATGGTTATTAACCATGAGTATTGACCATAGCTCACATGTTGTTAAGCACAACTAGAATCTGATTTTGCACGGGCTGAGGAATGGCTCTACTTATGTCCATGTGCCATCCAAAGACGGGATTCTTCTGGGATCAGGATGCCAGCCAGTGTAGAAGGGATATGGGTCCATTGACCGAAAAAGCGTACGAAAAAAGGTGAATTCTTGCCCAAATGATGGGTACAGTACCTGGCCTTAATCAACAACCAGAATCTTGCAAATACAAGGACATGATCATTCTTTTTGTGGCTGAGGAGTGTCCAGGGATTCAAACCATTTCAAAACTCAGGATTTGCGGACACCAGTTAGACGCCCCGATCCCGTCCTGTTCTGAACCTCGAAGTTGTTTCTGTAAACACTCCTGGACGCTGGCCAGTTGGGAATCCTTTTCTTGTAACCTGCGTCGCTCATTCTCCAGCTCCAGTTGGTGGGCCTCCAATTCTTCACTCAGATTTTGTTTGGACACGGATCCTCCACAGCCCATGGCAAAGAAGCAGCCCGGCAGCCCACGACACAACCATGAGATCCAAAAAACTTGAGCCCTGCAAAATGTTCCAAGAGGATTTTGTTTAGCCTGCGATCCAAACATCTCCAAATCTGGAAGTATTTTCCGTATTTTTCCCTTTCATCCGTTCGAATCCATTCCAGTTTCAGCTGCACGCCCTTTTCGTCGCCATTGGAGACTGCTGCGAGCTGCAGAGCCGCAAGACGCTCACCTCAATTTGCAGTTCGCTTCGGGGTTAAGGCAGTTAAGGTTCTAAAAGCACACCCGACCCCTGGATGACTTCGCTTTGAGGGGTTGGTTTTCCACCAGGCCCAGAAGCAACCGGCTGCGAGACAGGGGCGTTGCTGGTTTTGATCCTAGGTCCCCGCGCTACAGCAGAGATTTTTTGGCCGAAAGCCCCGAGATGAAGGTCTTTGCAACCTGAGACAGCGAAGGAAGCTGAACCGAGTGGAAGCTACACAAAACAACAGTTTGAAACATGCACATTCCATGTAGCTCATGTTTCCGCTCGAAAACCCAGGACGTTCCGGATTTTTCCTGCAGAAGTCACGGGGTTGCAGTTCCCATTTAGCATGGCTGTCTCTTCTGCCGATCTGCGGTTGCAAGGCCCTGGTTTTTCTCCCAAAGACAGCCACTCTCGAAAGCACACAGCTTCCGTGCAGAGATTCTGAATCAATTGCCATGGTATCGTCTGTGTCGTTTGCCAAACATTGGCTACCCATGCCACAAAACATCAGGAAGATCGCGGTATACCAAAAAAGTTTAAGATCGACTTGCCAAATCCTTTGATTTCTTCTGCCAGCTCATCAAATTCTGACATCTCACGCACATGTGCACACTTCCGCCCAGCATCAATATGAGGCAGGCTCCAGTGAAGCTTGGTGGCAAAGACCACATGAATCCCTTGGCATTTGATCTCAATTTCCTGGCGACTTTCTCTAGTTGGGGCTGGCCATTGAGAATCATCCATCTGTAGAATGCCACTTTTCAGCACCAGACCTTTCAAGACTCTCAGACTTGCCTGGGACAAGAAGCACTCCTTCCTGAGTTGTTTCCCTTCAAAGAAGCCTCCTTGTAGAAAGTTCCGGGCGAAGCGAAAGCGACCATTGCTGCAAAATTCAAACTCTTGAAACTCCTGATCACGGCCACCACCAACCACCATTTTGGCAAAGTATCTCACATAAAAGTCTTCTGGGACTTCAAGCATCCTGAGTTCCAGTTCTCCAGTTGCACACAGATTCTTCAGAAGCTCATTGTCCTTCAAGATTTTGGTGTCCATCAATAGCCGCAGTTCTGACCCAGACGAGAGCACGACTTGGCGCAGCCGGGCGATCTCACTTCTCAGATTGGAGATGGACCATGAAGACTGGGCTGTGATGCTGAAGCTTGATTCACCTGCCGGGTTTTCGGCAGGATCTGGCAAGGGAATAGGAAACCTTAGGAAACCTGGTAACCTCACTTTAGTTGGTCATTTTTGGGTGATGTTCAAATGATAAACCCAGAATGGAAGTGTTTTTGAAAGGTGGGCGGTCAAACTTTTAAAGTCCATTGATCCATTGATAGTACATCATGCATAACTTATGTATAACTGACTTTACTTCATGATTTTCTCAGCCCCACCTGTGAAGGCATTCAAAATCTGCACCTCCACTGGAACAATCGCTTCATGGCGGCCGTGCGAGCGGGAGCGGCCCCGGCCCTGGAGCTCTGCGCGAGAGACCAACTTCACGTGAGTTCTCATGGAGCCGAAAAATGCTAGGAGTTTTTGGGTCTTTTTTCTGCTGAAAAATGAACGGAAAAAAGCTTGGACCTTGGAAAATGCATCGAAGTGCAAAAATGGGGTTGGAATTACTACAGAAACCCGTGGGAAGAAATGTGGAGATTCAAAAAGGAAAGTCTGAAAGTCCTGGATTCGCTGAGGCGTCGCAGTTGGAAATTGGCGACCATGGCGACATTCTCCATCACTTTGTCATCAGAGACTTTTCCAAAACTCCCATGGACAAATTCTTCCAAACATCCTCAAGACATACCACACCCTTCCCAAACTATCAAGAAGGATCAGAAGGATTGTACTGAATGATGTGGCAAACTCAATTTGTAGCTCCAGCTGGCTCCCCATTTAATAGTATTTCATTGGGAATATGGATATGGTGGTGCCATGGATACCCCCAATGCGCTGGCTCCACGGCCACCGCTCCCATTGCTGGGACCAGTCACCGTCAGATGCCGCGCGCGAAGCCGATGCCCACGAAGGGATGGGCACGACCATTCTCGCGGCTGCCAAAGGCGATGCCCCGCTGGGCATCGCGGGCACTGGGCGGTGCCGGGCGGTGCCGGTCGGGTGAATCCCACCATGGTCACCACGACTCGTTTTCTTGCTGGTTCTGGCGAATCTAAAATAAACATGAAATATACATTAAATAAAATCAATTCGAATATGTATTGACATCTTTATCTATATGACATGTTGAGTTCTAGAATGATTCTGTGAGGAAAACACCAGGAGTTTTGTCCCCAAAAGCCTTCCAGGCCTGGCATCATTGACATCCACAAACTCGGGGGAATGGTCGCGGCCATCAGAGTCCCGGATGCCGGGCCTGCAGTGAGGCGGTAGAAATGCTGGCCTAGTGCCAGCTGGTACCAGGATTTGGACATCTATAGAGAGGTTGAATAGATGGTTATCTAGTTATTTTATAACCTCATTTAGATCCTTTTAAAGCCATGTGACTGGTAAAATACCATCAACTGGTTATCATTTATATCCCGGGTTAGAAACTAACTCAGCCCATAACAGATTTTGTCTGAAAATGGGGTTGGATTATCATCATTCTCCCTGGTTTGAAATGGTCACAACGGGGGCGCCCGGCACCTCACCGGCAAGCCAACCTCATCAGCCTTGGCCCTAGGTGCGGGCACATGGCCTTGCTTTGATGGATCAGTGCCTCAGAAAATCCAGAGATGGATAGTCACTTAGTCCACCACGGAAGAAAATTTGTTGATGAATTACATCGTGATTTACACTGAAAATTGTTGATGAAGACATATGAAATCAGTGTCCAAAAATGGGAGATGGCATGGGATAACCCAAATTATGACCATGCCAGGGCATTGTCAAAATGGATTCGCCAGTGGATTCACATGTGGGTTTTAAGGATCTCCTCCATCGTCCAACAAAACCCATGATGCCAACGGTGCCGACGGTGCCGAGAGCCCGGCTGGGTTGCACGGTCTGCATGTAGGTGACCATCCTGTGAGGTGATCCATAAAAAGATGTTAATTATATACACTCATACATATATAGATATGTATGTAACTATGTATATAATGTATACATATATAGAATCATATATATATTACAGATGTATACACATATATAATCATATATAATCATATATATATATTATATATATATACATATGTCATGTCTGGAAACCATGCGTGCCATGATGGTCGATACGTAGCCGTTTGTTGGTCAAATCAGATCTCATTTCCAGGTTCGTGTGGCCGATGAAGGCCGATGGGAATCAACTCATCCCCATCCTCTTCAGCGCATGGACATAGCTTTGGACCACGGGGTCTGTGTCAAAGGCACTGGCATTCCTCGACTTCGCACTGCTGAGTTGGATGCGGTTCCAGTCTGACGTGCACTGCAAAGCATGTTCATTCCAGAAATTACACATCACACAAAGATAGGCAAATTCTATCCCTGCTCGGTTGAACATGTGGTAGTTCACCGTATTTCCCCTGAAAACTGGACGTATCTTGGGTGGAGGAGATATCCAAAATGTGAGGTGACTCAAGCTGAGGCGCTTCATGTCTTTCTCAACGACCTGTCTTTGCATGGTCCTCGTGTCAGCAGCCAATGTTCAGTGGCTTAAGTTGGCTGCTAGAAAGGACATGTGGAAATATGAGGGTTCCAGGTAATGGTTACTTATCAGTCCGGTATCTAGATATACATGGGATGACATGGCTACGACGTGGGACATTGGTGACATGATTTCGTCCTCAAGCTGCATCCTTGGCCCCAGTGTGCTCGTTGTTCTCCCAAATCCAAGGCTGAATGCCACGTCCTGATGGTGTTTTTTTCGAGTGGACAGTGACATATGTGACATGGAGATGCCATCAGATTGGGTGACAAAGCTGGATGAACAATGGCTGGTTCAACCCAATGGCCCAATGTTTCAGTCGATCATAGTCGATCTATTCTCCAAAAGTCGATTTTGAATGATTTTGAGGCTTTGGCGCTTTTCCGATGGTGATGTTCACGTACACATCATTGGCCTCTTCCAGGGTGAATGGTGATGTTCACGCGTTCACACATTTGGGGTCACCAGGCTGGTGGGAAAAGGATGCTATTCCATACCATTCTTCATATGGTATTGATTCATAATGAATTCATAATGAATTCATAATGCATGTGGACCAAAGATCACTGGAAAGAGCACTGGACTCTACGACTCCTGACTCTCCAGCACTGAACATCCACTCCTGCGCGGCCTGCGCGTACTCCCTGCGGTGAGCCAAGTCGGCAAACTCCACAAGGCCAGAGAGCAGCACACCATCCACCACCTGCGGCGTGGCATGTTGCCTTGAAACAGGTACACAGGTTGGCAGCAGTTGATTGTTCATCTTTGTCTTTCCGTGTCAAAGTTTGAACAAAGGTGCGGTTGACCTTTTGTTGGCTGGACCCCAAATCTACTGGTCAATAACAAGATTCCACTTTATAAATTTGCAAATGGGTGTCTGAAATTAGGTGACCCCCAATTTTAAGTGATGTTCATCGTATTTCCAATTCACATGGTCATGTTGTATCCCTTTCAGACAGGAAATCTTAATGGCGATCTTGGGGCTATACACCAAGGTATGCCCCATTTTCAGAGCCACACCTTTCGATTCAGCTGCTTCATAAGTTTCAACAAGGCCGAACGCGTGCTGTCCAGCTGCAACTGCTCGGGTTTCTCATGGCTCTTCCAATGCTGGAACCAGTACCTCAGTTCTCTGGGTTCGTGGATGATCCATTCTCTGGTGCTGAACTTTTGTGGATCCAAATTCTTCTGCAAAGGAATCTCTTTGCATAGGACTCCTTCTTTAAGTTGGGCTGCATACTGTATGGTCTCATATGCAATTGCTTTGGTGTCGTATATGTGTCTCTTCCCGAAAAGATGGACTTTGAACCTTTGAATACTGGAGTTTTTATCAAAATGACCACACTCTGCAGATTTGGATCAAATTCTTTAGCCCTACCACCAAGTTGCAGCACAAATTGCGCCAGAAACTCCTGCAGGGAAGAGCACAATGCCGCGGGAAGATCGCCAGAGCTCCATGAAAACAGTGAAACATACAGCTGCTGCACAGAAGAAAAATGGCACACACCATTTTCCGGCTGGAAAATGAACCATGAGGACCTGAAAAGCTTTGATTTCTTCAATTTCTTCTACCGATCTACAGGAGTACATCCTCTGGTGTGTCTGACATTCAGAGGAATCCACCTTTTCGGGTTTTCCCATTGACAAAATGAGGTTTTTGAGTCACCAACGCCACCAGCTCCTCTGGCTGGGTTTCTTCTCTGCGAGGCAGCTCATCTGGGGGATCTGCATCCAACAACTTCCCATCCTGTCGCCACAAGTCTCCAATTGATCACTCGCTGGGACCCCTTGAAACATATGGGGGGTCCTAAAATGGTGGTATTCCAAAATGGATGGTGTGAAATGGAAAATCCTACTTAAAATGGATGATTTGGGTTTTTTTTCCTATTTTAGGAAACCTCCATAAGATGTTCTGAACATGTTCGTATCAAAGAAAAGAGAACTGCAGAAGCGGACAGGTTTTAACTTTCAACTTCACATATCATCGGTCCAATATTCTTGTGAGACATGGATGTGCGTCTAGTCATCGAACTAGGCGCAGTTCGATTCTCCCACCTGCCAGGCAACGCGCAGCGCTTTGGCTGCAGCGTCCTTGCAGTCGAGAGAAAACATGAGAAAACCAGCCAGTTTCTCAAGCCCATCTTTCAAAATCTGCAAATTCTGTGTCCAGCCAGTCTCGGTTGTTCTGCTTATAATATACACTTTTGGGATTCTCAGATTCCAAGACTCGAGTCTTTCCAACATATCCGTGGATATCGCTCTCCTCTTCTGAGCTTTGGCCTTCCTCCTGACGGTCAAAAGCCATGGAAATTTGTGATATATAATTTACCATAGCTATTGACCCATCTATGATGTGAAATGTTCCAGGCGATCTCCAAACTTCCTCGACGTCTGCGGCTGCATGTGGGCAGACCTGAAGATTGCCATGGCTATGGGTCAAAGTTCGATACCCCCCTAAAATTGGATGCCACAAATGAACAGTGAACAGAATCTGCGGTCTGGGCCCCTGGGCCTTGGATTTTGAGCCATTCCATGCCATTCCAATATGGCAGTGTGTCAAAACCTTGTACCCCTTCTGTTCACATCAAAATAGCTGGGATTTATGGATGTTCCCCTTAAAAATGGTATTAAAAGGTATTGATCCATACCAATATCAGTTCCGGTCCCAAATCTTGCCCCTCAACTGACGAAAAACTGACTCAACCTTTGGACGCCGTTGGACGTCACGCGCCTCATTTCGGGACAGGCCGCGGCAACAAGCATATCCCCAGCTCTGCCTGCCGTCACATCTGCTAGACATCTGAGCACAGGGCCATCTGCACGTTTGGATGGTACAAAGATGACCCAAATCAACGAAGCCCCCCCTGAAACACCAAAATCACCTTCATGATATTTCATGATAATCATCTTCCAAACACATCTTGGGATATCTTGGGTCTTCCCTGTCCATTTTTGGTCACCATTCGCCACCAAATCACCGCTGCCTCTCGAGATCAAAGAAGGACCCCCAAACGGTCGAATGCCCTCCGCTAAGGCGATCCTGCAGCAACCAGTCATGTTGGCCCCACATGGAACTGTCGATCCAAAACTTAGATCACTGGTTACCGGTAAACACCGGGTTACCGGGTTACCGTTCGCGGGTGGAATTCTTCAGAACATCTTTTGCCAATGCGAAATCTGTCTACACGACAGGAAAAGCAGCCAATAAGCTGGTGCAGCTGTCTGGCAAAAACTTAAAAGTTTCGCGGTCCAGTCTGGCAGCCGTCGTGTTGGCCGTGGCCACTGCTTAGGGAGTTGTTGGAAGACATGTAAAGGTGGCCAGACAGTCTGGTGTACATTGAGGGCACATACCCTTTCGGTAAAGATGGCTGTAGCCTTCTGCAAGTCCTACAGCCTTGGCACCCAGTTGCTTTGGTGATACCAAAGCAGATGGATTCACCACACACTTTTCCAAATCCTTGAAGTAGCGGAGCATCCACTCCTGGGACTTGATTCCATGGTGCATCACTGGCCCTATAGAGCTCCCGTGGTTGTCTAAATAGACCCCATCAGCCACGAAAAAGTTCATCCGGGGCCAGACAGACAGGACACAATCCCCCAAGCCCTGGCTTTGTGCATGGTTACACAGCCGACCCAACTTGCTGTGGCCCAAATGAAAGCTCCGCGCACGAAGAGCTCCGGTCGCCACCTGGATGAAATGCCAATAGGGCTGAAGATTCTCAACATTCTCCTGCAGCTATCCACTGGCTGTGGCAAAAGAAACACAAGTCCACCGAGAAATGGGAGTTATCCAGTGAAGTTCTGGAAGTTATGGAAGTGAGAAACTTCATCCACCATAACTTCAATCCACCATTCCAGTCTGGATTTTTTTGTGCTCAAAATAAAAGTGTCTAAACTGCCCAACACATCTCTTTGAAACCACCAAGTACCAGAGGAAAATCCGCCCGCACCGAAGATGCTGAGGCATTTTTGGTTGGCACGCACGATCCAGAAGCAATTACAATAGCTATTAAGCTTTAGTTTGGAGGGATGCATTTTATTGCTCCTGTATTTTTGCACGTTTTTTAAAGGGACCGAGAATCGGCTAAGTTGCCAAATTTGGCCTCAACATGGCCCAACATAGGCCCAACATAGGTCCAACACGGCCCAACATAGGTCCAACACGGCCCAACATAGGTCCAACACGGCCCAACATAGAGCCAAAGGCCAACATACTCCCAACATGCGCCCTACAAAGGCCCAACATAGAACATATGGTTTGATTTATTGGAATTCCGTCGCTAACACTGCGGTGCGGGCGGTTGTGGTCGCGAAGCGACCAGAATAACTCGGAAAAAAAAACGAAGAAATGTGGAACAAACATATTTACACACATGTATACACATGTATAAATACTAGTAACCGTTAGATTGTATATATGACTGTATGTATAGTGATAAAACATGATAAAACTAAAAACAGTAACTCAGTAACTGGTTCCCAGTGGCTGTCAGATTGGAATAGAGCTGCTGAACCTCCAAGGTCTCTGGCAGTTCCAAGATCTCCAGCAGCGCCAGATGCAGCGCTCCGTTGTCGGCACTGCTGAAGCCGCTCGGCTGGCGGAAGCGAAAATGGGCCCAGTAGCGGAGGAACTCCAAAACCCAGGGTTTGTTGCTGGCGATGTAGTTCCCTGACAAGAATTAAACATAGAGATCACATAGAGATCCTATGTGTATATAACAAATATGCAAATATATATATATATATAATATATGCATATCGAATATCAACATATTCGTGTTTTTGGTGTTCCACTCTGTTCTGTGATTCATATCCTAAAGATATCCAGAAGATATCGATAAGATATACTGATATACTATCAAATATGATCCCCACTTACAAGGGGAACTGCGGGAAAGGAAGGGACACTTACAAGTTCAAATTGGCCATGTGGCAGCTTCAAGATTCATAAGATTCATTGTCCAGCAAAAAATGGTCAGGATAGCTTGTTTCGCCAATAAAATTGGGATGAATGATGAAACCAACACACTATACACTTAAAGGTTGATGGTATGATACTACAACATGCTGCCTATATGCTGCATCTGCCAAATTTTGATCCACACCTGACGCAATCTCCACACCAGTGATTCTGCCATAGAACTGCAGGTCACCACCATTCTGTATCCAATAGCTCAGGTTCCGATCAAGGACCACAGCCACGACATCCGCATCCAATACTGCCACCGTGTACGCTGCAGACTGTTCTTCCAGCAGCGCAGCAACCACACAGTGTTTCTGAAAGAAGTAGTAACCAGGTGGATAGTACTTGCTTCCACACTCCTCAAATTCATCCCCATGCAGCAGCCACAAATCGTAGCCATTTTTCTGAGCATAACATCGCACACTGGAAATTTGACCTTGGTAGTGTTGGCGAAAGTTGCCATCTGCCACAATCACCAAACCAACTGCTTCAGAGCCTTTGAGCTCCGGCTGGAGCTGCTCTGCGTCTGGAAGCTCCAGGCGCTGATGGCGCGATGGCGCTAGGCCGAAGGTCCAGTCGGCTGAAAGAGAAAATCCCAGCAGGCCCAACAGCACCAAGTTCAACAGGTAAGAAACACAGCGCCATTGCATCTCCAAAAATCACAAAAAAAAGTGATCGAAAATGAAGCAAAGTACTTGCAGGCACATGATATTCTACTGTCCCCAACTGTCCTTAAAACAACTTTTTTCGGTAACAATGTCAAAGTCACTCCTACCGGCCTTTTTGAGCAGTTTCATTCCCTGTCTCTGGCCAGCTTGTCCACGCCAATCATTACAATCTTAGTCTTGGCCAACTGCGGCCTTCTACTTTGCGAGTGATAGAAATATAGAAATCATATAAGAATGCTACTGACCTGCTCCCAGTGTCATGTGATTTACTGCATCTACTGCCGAGACGTCGTCTCTATTTGACAAAGGCAAGAACATCTCAGGACTGGGAGCATCAGCAAACATACAAGGTCTGCTTGGCAACAGAAAGCCAGTGGCATTGTTGATGCCGTGTTTCTCATCAACTTGGTGATCGAAAAACATTTTCTGAAAAGAAATGAAAAAACCATGGGTGTTTCGTGAAGGTGTCTACCAGCCGAGGTGTTTACTTCACCCTTACGGTAGTTGGAATGGTTGGTATGGCCAGTTCGCTGCTAGGAATGGAGCCCCAGCAATCCCAATCACCCCCAATTGTGGCACATCAATCCCCACTGTTGCTGATTGCATGACCCACACCCAGATGTGCCATGGTCAAGATGCATTGTGAATGGGGTATGGTCATCTATCCCATGATGGGAGTCCTTATCAATGCTTGATAGACCCCTATTAATGAATTGACGACCATGTTCCAATAGGAGCAATTACCCAAGTTTTGACCATGCATCCCATTATATATATATATATACATATTTCCCAATAAATCACCATTAGTTCATGGTTCAATCCCAATTGAATCCCATAGACAAACGAGTCCTATGACGAAAAGCCTTATTTCACATAATATCCCAGTATAGTTAAAATTGCCAAATCCCCATCCCATACATATCCCTTAAAAATATCCCATATATCTCTTACTAACAACGAAACCCCAAAGTCCTCTGCATAAAGCGTCGAAGCTGCAAGGTGCCGCGTGTCCCCCATGGGCCGCGGCCGCGGTTTTTTCTGGAGATTTCTGTGTCTAAGCATCTGGGACTGGTCACACTGGGACTTCAAAGAAAGGAGATATTGTAATGATATTTTATCATATGTTACATTGCATCAAATATGTTGTATTATGTTATATTGTATGATGGTATAGTATGGTAGTATGGTATAGTATGTTATATTATATTAGATTTATATCTTCATGATATACGGAGAATGATATGATTTAATTGTTGATGTACATAAACAAGGTACGGAACATGTCTCCCGCCTATAATGATGGGACGATAAACACAAGAAAAAAAGGCCGTATGATATGATCAAAATAAATGTGGATACGTGATATGGACACTATTCTAATAGGGCGACTATGGTTTGTAGACATGATTCCTGCGAAGTCTTGCAGCAATCATCTGTCTGAACCGTGCGGCCTAGCGATTTCATGGAGGCCAAACCCTTCGGAAAATGCATAACGATGGTTGGTCAATGAATATTCGATTCATCGACATGGGGGTAAATCTATCATAGATGGGACCAACAAGAGTAGCATCATTTCTGGGTGAAATGGCCAAAATGAAGCTATGATGATGCCATTTCCATCCATTTCCATAGTGAATCCACTTTGTTGGCCTGCTGTGCCGTTCCCAATTCATATGATACTGGTTACACCCCCCCGTTCAATTGAACCTGGCATTACCTGGCCACAACAGCATCCCTTGCCGGTGTTTGGCACCACACAGGTTCACGGCAGAAGCTGGGAAACTGGGGCTGAGCAAACTGAAAGCAACTTCATTCTGGTCTGGGAATAAAACTGGAAAATGTGAATGAAACAACGGAAACAACGACATCTGAATGCGGATACCAAAAAAGCAAAACATGAAAGATCCTGTCAAAAAGCATCAAAAAGTTTTCAGAGGCCTACCACATCATCAGTTGCTCTCAAGGGATGACTGGAAGCTTCGGCGTCATCTCTTCTTAACCTCGGCAAGTCCCAAGTTGCCGAAGTGGCTACGAAGTGGCTACCCTTGATGCTCTCAGCTCAATCTCCAGGGCCCCCAGCCACAGCCACGTTCCCAGGTCACAGCTACTCCCAAATGGCCTTTCCAAAGCCTCACGGCTCCAAGGATTGAGGCAAAAGCAAGAATGATAGCAAGGGGATGTAAGCGGTAACAACAACAACAACAACAACAACAAAGAAAAAAAAACACGTGTTCACTTTCCGACACAAAAGGGGAGGTCCCTTGCTGCGAACGCAGATATTCCGAAAGACAATCCAGAAAACTGACTAACCTAGACTCTAGACCTTGATAATCAAAAGTGTCCACAGCCCGTGGATGGTTAAGCAGATCTTGTTGACACTGGATATCCCTCAAACGTTTCCGCCGAGTTGCTTGATCAGGTACTTGTCTCCCGGATCACCAGCATCCCTGCCACGAACGAAATTTGGAGAAAGATCTTTAGATTTCCAGTTCGGAGAAAATCCGAGGCGAACTTCCCAGAATATGAGCCGGATTGGTTCCAATTGGTTCCAATAAACATGAAAATCATTGAAAATCATGAAAGATTGTGTTCCAGATCCCATCAGGATCATCAGGCACCTGGCTCGTGCCAGTGCAGCTCCAGTTGGAGGACAAACACGGCCATCAATGACCCAGCTGAGGTGGTTCCTGACGACTTTCCGATTCCGTTAGATCCAAATCTGACATTCCGTGATCCAAAATGTGCAGGCCAGGGGGCTGTTGCACCAGAAACAATGGATTCGGACCAAACCTTGGAGAAAAGCGATCGACCAGGCAGTTGTGGTGCCAAACAGGTGAGGCCCATAAATGACATCGGCAAGCTACGCGCGGCTGCCGCTGGTGGCATTCGGCCGCTCGGGGTGCAACACCTGGGGAGTATGCACTGGTCAAAACGATTCAAATGTATTCAAAACTATGGTTTTCAGACTAGTTGTTCCCCTTACCCAACCCGTTGGTTTGACCGGCCGCGGACAAACAGAGAATAAATGGACAGCAGAAAATTTTAAGTGTTGGATGAGCATCACATAAATGGGACCTTGGACAGTCACAGAAATGCTGATCATAGTCACTAAATACAGTTTCTTCTTCACAGTTGCATCGGATACGGATGCTCATTGAAAGTCTGCAGGGCCAGCCTCTTGGCAATCTTGATCCAAACTCACCAGCAAACTTTCGAAGCCATCGGGACCAAGCCTGACGTATCGGATGCGTTTCGGCAGCTTCACGGAAGGCACCGAAGGCTGTGCCACCAAGAAACGTCACTACCGTAGTGTGGCTGCCATTCTCATTGCGTGTCATGGCTTCTGGTTTCCATTTGTTCCAAGAGCCCAGCAAATAGTAGCCTCAAGCGACAAGGTCTACAGCTTCGTCATCATCTCGATCTAACATGCTTTAAAAGAAAAGAAAATTAAGAAGTCCATAATTACCATGGCCCTGAAAAATGTGCTGAGATACTGATGTTCTTCCTATTTATCTGCCCACGCACACAAATGCAAACCCGCCACATATGCGACATCAACAAACACGAAAGAAGTACACGAAGCTGAAACAGGAAGAATGTCGAAGATCCACAGCTCTCCGCTCCAGATGTAAAGCTTCAGCTCACAAAATCTTCACATAACGCACCCAGAACGGAGGGGCTCCCCCTAACAGCGTTCACCCATGCAGCATTTTATTGCGCATCAGATCTCGTTCAACCCAACATTCTTCCGGGGACTAAATTCTCATCATCAAACTTGAAGCCAGAGCTGCGGGAAGTACTAATAGAGTTTGAGGTCAAAATAACGCCCCTGAAAGGGAGTCCTGGATCCTTGTTCTTGTCATACTATCTCATGCTGTCAACCCTTTCTGTCAACCATTTCTGTCAACCCCCTTTCTTACCGGAGCCTTCACAAGGCTACCTATCCGATTTGATCACCCTGCCTGCAAGATTTTTTCCCATCAAGGTATATTTACAGAACAACCTCTGCTGCTGAAAGGAAAAAAAAAAACGTGTCCCCCTTCCCGCCCTATTTGGACCGTTTTGACAGGTCCTCCCCCCAACAAGAACACAAATTGCCCTTCCCCCAACCCCCCAAGACACAACACCACGCAAACCCCCCACACACCAAAATACTCACTTCGTTCGCAGTACAAACTCCAGCCTATCCTACCGGCTTGCCTAAAAATGAAGATTGAGCAACAAGACTGGGGATGAAATACTCACCAGCGCTAATCCGTGGGTCAACACAGCAAGCCCACACAAAGACGTGTGTCTTCTCTGCTTCCTCTGCGAAACATTCAGTTGGTTGACTCAAGGATCGCAAATCACGGACTCACAGACTCGGTGACTTTGCTTCTCTTCTAAAAGTCAGGCAATCCAAAAATCCAAAAACACCCGCTTTTCCCCAGATTGACCACTTTGTATGGCGAAAAAAACCTGAAAGCCACAGGTTTTTGCACCGAGGGACTCTTGTCCATCTCTCCGCCTCTGGGCCAATAGGCAAAGGATTGCCTGAAACATCGGCATCAAGTCACGAGACAACCGGAAACCTTTCGGATGCTAAGCATATGCTGAGGAAATGATGACTGGAAATGGTGGATGTTTCACTACCCTAAGAGGGCGGTCAAAAGTTGAGATATCCAGTTTTGCATGTTTGAAGATTGATGGAAAAAGCAACACCAAAATATGTTTGTGTATATGTATATATATATATTATAACTTATAACGTTATCTTAAAAATACATAATTAATATGTGATATGATATGGCAACGAAAGGAAAGTGTCCCAGTTTGCCCTATAATCACCACCGTTTCTCCTGCCAAACTCAGCCGCATCGGCAGGGCCTCATGGATTTCCCCTTGGGCTGGGCGCTTTTCGCAGCCTCAGCACGTGCCGCGAATTGCCGCGATGCCGGTTGAGGGGATAGGTCACCACTGGTCACCACCTTTCCGCCGGACAAGGGGCTCCCCAGCACACGAGGTTGATGCTGGTGCCACCCCATCCTCTTGCGCCAGCTCCATGGAAAGCGCGGCAGTCGCCTAAAAACTCGTGGCAGTCGGACAAGTCGGACAAATCATGGGATGATGTCCAATCAGTGGGACGTAGCGTTCAGATTCGGTGACTATCCACTCTGCAGCAAACTTCGTGCAAACTTCTTGTAAAACGTTGGGCCAACTCCACATGAAGAAGTACCGTAGGATGGCATTTGCTACTGGCTTGAACTCTCGCTAAAGTGAAGTGCATTGGCGATGTGAACTACCGAGTTTGTGTGTGTGTGCCTTTGTGGTTCTAACCTACCCGTCTCTACACAAACTATACATATCAAAATCTCCAAGTGAAACCCAAGGATGTTTGGATGTACATTCTTATCTTCATGATGTACTGTTAGAACATATTGCTTGGTATAATATTCACCCACAACACCAACAACTCATATAGAACATACATACATATGTATATATATATATGTTATATATATATATCATACATATATTACATGCATACTCTTCTGCTAGATGTTCTTGGTGACTACCCTCTGGTCATCGTAGCCACTGGATCAAGGGACCATATGGCATTGACTCCGTGTTGATGCAGTGGGCAGCATCACCAGGCTGGCGTTGCGTTTCGACGCGAAACTGGGGCCAAATGGAAAAGCCTTAAAATCAAATAATTTATCATAATGTAGTATCATAATACGATGAAAACATACAGAATATACATAGTATCAGATGGTATCATATTGTATCTATAGTATCATATTCAATGATTGAAAACCCGTGCGAACCCATGAAGAATTGCCATTCTGGGGTGGGCATCCCTCCATTTCTGGACAAAGCAAGAATGGCAACCAGACCAATGACAGAAACAGTGAGAAGAAGGAAAGCCAAGAAGAAGAACTTGGGAATGGTAATCATTCCCGAAAGCCACCTCGAAGTAGGGATTCAGCTGTTTTAAGTGAACGTTTGGCGCATTGTTGCCATAGCTGATGTTCAACAGCACCTGCAACACCCAACAGTTGAGACGTGAAGGGATGGGTCAAGTGCTCGCATTATGTCCTCTGTGAGGGCATGCAATGTGACATAAATGTACTCGGCACATAGAAGGTTTGCATACAGAGACGCCTTTTGATGCCTTTTGGATAGAAACGAATCATCATCCGCCAGATCATCTGTGCCAAAAAAGCACCAGCAGCCCCGGAACGGCCTTCAGGAAAGCAGACATAAAGCAAGCCTCGCGCTGGATTCCAGTGTTGGTCTTGCAGGACCCGAAGATCAACATCTCCTGCGAAGTCTTGGCCAAACATGTGGAACATGTGGCCCAAAATGAGGGATTCCCCCCCAGGATCTATCAATTTTAATGGGAAAAATGTGGAAAAATTATGATAAACCATAGGATTTTAGGAAATTGAGGGCTACCTTTTTTCAGACAACCCCAAATCTGGGGTTGTCTCCGAATCAACTTCCAGAGCTGCGAATGCTCCCCATGTGTCCCAAAAAAGTTACCCAACGTCATCCAACACCCACCATCTTCGCCGCTTCCCCACAACGATTTCAAGTGATGTTTCAATCTTTGAAGGTGTTTAGCATCCAAAATCCCATCAAAATCCCAATTCTATACATATACATATACATGTACATGTACATGTACATGTACATCATGTACATCATGTACATCATATACATCATATGCATCATATACATCATATACATATACACACATATACACACATGGCCAACTATCATCTAAATCATATCTGAATTCCTATGAACTTGACTCCAACTCAAATCCTCATCAAATCCTCCAAAAAAAACTGAATATCCATAAATCATAGCTTGGTTCATCGATGTTTGGATCCCTGGTTTTCAAAACGGGTTTCCCATGGCTTCCCCATGGCTTCATGGCTTCATGGCTTCCCCACCTGCTCGCCACCGGGGACCTTCCGCAAGACGCTCAGCGCGGCGCTGAGCTCCACGGAATCCGCCAACTTGGCGCCCTCCGCGTGGCACTCCATGGCGTCCAGGTCCTTAGATCGATAGATAGCCATAATGAGCTGTTATATATATATGTATATATATATATATATGTATGTATGTATATATATATGTATATGTATATATATATATATGTGTGTGATGGTTGGGAAACTCGATTCGTAGCTCCAACTGGCTCCCCATTGATGGTTGGGAAGATATAGGGAATATGAATACCCCTAGCTCCTTAGCTCCCTCCTAACCACTGGATTTTTTCGGCTTTTCGACTTAGTCCCAGGCGAAACCTAGGTGTGAAAACTGTCAGATGTTTCGTACAAGTTATCACAAATGTAAAATAATTGAAAAACTATTCAGCAGAGGTGGAGAAGATGCGCACAGCATTTCGAATGAGCTTGGAACGCTCATTAAATGGAGTATCATAATTTTGTGGATGCTCAGGCGGCACAACCTTTGGAAAATTCATGACTCTGTCCATAGTTCTGATCACACCGGACTTCGTGCAAAAAAACTCGTGGAACATTTGCATAACTTGTTTGCCATGATTGAGAACAGGTCTGCTTGACAGCCCTTTTAAAGTCGAGGAGCAACCCAAAAGGTTAACTGACCGTGATTTTTTTTGTACTTGCACAGGAAATTTTTTTATTGGAGAATGTTGCATCAGCCAACATAAACTCTTGGTCCACACTTGGGTTTGGGATCCCAATGTGACTGCTTGGCAATCTGCACGGACCTGCAAATCCTGAAGAACATAACACGGTGCCGTAAACCGGTCACGTTGAGCTTTTGTGAATATGTTGACTGGAGTACAAGTTCCTGTCGTAAGCACAAAATCAATGAACAATTCAAGAAAGAAAATATCGGCACCAGGCTCAATCTCATGCACATCCCATTGCAGCTTACGTGCCCAGTAAAGAATCCTCCATAGGTACACCGGCCCCCATGGATAAGCTTGATGCTGCAAAAAACTGAATTCAAACTGCAAGGTCTTTGTCTGCAAGGGTTCTTCAAGTCCTGGCTCTCCTAACCACTGGATAGTATGTATATATATATATATGGATGATGATGATGATGATGATGATGATATAGATATAGATATAGATATAGATATAGATCCATACAATGAAGTGGGATACAGAAATAGGTAGATGTGAAGATATGATGATGATTGATGATGATTGATGATGATTGGTGATGATTGATGATGATAGATGATGATAGATATGGATCCGTATAGTGAATGATCATGGTTGATATAGATCCATACAATGGGGTGAACTGTGCCACATTTATGGGTGAAATAAAGTTGAAAATAGAAGATGAAGTGAGGATAGTCGTGGGCAAAATCTGCAGAACTGCAGGTTCCCATGCAACGAAACTTTGGGTTGTGGGTCGTAGCTATCAGCATGACACCCCAACCCCGCTCGACTTGCAGTAGTACCACATCCATGAAAATATTCGAGTTTCCAAACTTACATCTAAATCCACTACTAGTAGGTTTTAATAGGTTTTACCGGGTATCTACAAGGCTTCTAAAGATTCTAAAGTGCTTCGGCCCCTTAAAGCACAGTTTTCACGACGACAGCCACAGAGTCCAACGGATTCAAATTGGCCATGCGAAAGGACTCCGTAATGACCTCCTGCTCAGCCGGCCCGCAGGGAGCCGACAAGCCTTCAGTTTGACATGCTGGAAATGTGACATTTTCCCGTCGCCCGGCCAACAAAAAAACACCCAGAAACCATGATTTGTGTTGGGATGAAACCATATATTTGGGACCATAGAATGGGTGTGTTTAATCTTGGATTGGATTACTAGTTGAGAGCGGGGCTCCCTTGATGGGTCATAGTAGTCCACAATAAACCAGGTAGTATGACCCCCAAGAACAACCCATCAACAGGGATTCTGGTCACTGCTTACATGGGGATTCAAAGAGGGGGCTCCCAAATGATAGGCTAATGATTGGATAAAAATGGCGGATCTACATTTTTTCATGGGTGAAGCTAAACCAATTTATAAATGAAGGGGTCCTTCTTGTGTGTTTGTCTGAAAATGTGTTGAAGCCCCAAAATGCCATGATTAATCATAAAGTTGTTCCGTTGAAATGGCCACATGGTTGGGATGCACAAGGTTTAGAAACATCCATTTGCAGGTCGGAAACCCTTTTGTATTCCCCAAAAAGGAACGAACAGAGAGGATGATTCATCTATACCTATACAGTATAGACACAATGTTAGGTGGGTTGGACCCATCCCCTTCTGGGCAATGCCCACCTGTACCCTGATCAGAATGGATAATGCCCCAGGATCACTAGCTGTTGAGTTTGCACTGAACTGCCGAGCGACTTGCATTGCGACCATTGTTCACCGCATGCCAACCAACCATGCTCCCAATGAGTGGCTCTTGAGGTACAACCAACTCATTCTCGACCTACCAGCTTTTGACAGCAGCACCAAACACAAGCATTTGGTACTCTAGCAAAGACCATAGTCCCTTTCAGTCTGTTCAAACAGCATGGTTGAGACTTTTCATCACTTCAACAAGTAGTTGATGACGAACAACAACAACAACAACAACAACAACAACAACAACATCATCAGGACTCCATGCCATAGCTGCCAAATGTGCCAAGTGTGCCTTCTCCGCATAGGGTTTCAGCACCACCGAGATACTGCATTCGCCCAGGACGTAGCCAGCAGCTTGGGCGTCGAAGCTCAAGCATCGCCCTGACGCTGGGCGGCGTCGGGATTGGAGCAACCAAATCAGTCGTTTTTTTTTGTTTTATGGGATCTGTATATGTATGTGTGTATATATATATATATATGTAGGATCTATATAATGTATATATGGGATCTATATTAATGGGGATATTGACCTGGTTTTCATCTGGAAGAAAAGTACGGGATCAAACCAACAAAAATTCTTTGGGACTTGTTGTAGCAAGATTTATAAAGTTGAGGATTGAATCTGGAAGAAAATAATGGAGGAAGAAAAACACAATTGGCCATCGAAACGACTTGCTGCAGAGATGTGAAAGACCTAGGTTTGTCACAAAATCAGGCGTATCGCAAAATTGCAAGTTTGGGACAAATGATGATCATTCATTGGATTTCGGGATCACCCACTTAGGAAAAAGCACTGGCTTTGTTCAATGCGGAATCGCTTTTGATGACTTTGTTTTTTTCATGTGAAAAATCCCAGGGCATCCCAGGGCACCTGCTGGGTTCATGAAGGCATTCCAGCGCGGCCAAAGCAGGGGCGATAGGATGAAGTAGACCCCGCTGCAAACGGCTGCCGAGCTGGTACCTGTCAACGGAGTTGCGCTGGGTACAAATGGTTTTCCCGGTGCCAAATGTGTTTGTTGAAGTGCGAATTCGAATGATCATCATATGAGATTGTCATAGATTGTCCACTTTGGGGGATAAGTTTGACATCCGAATATGGTGGCTGTTTCATTGGAATACAATACAGAGGGTCAAAGCAATCAAGACCAACAAGGGGATGGGAATTAGCGCCACTTCCAAGGGGTATTGCAACCCGAAGAGGAATGATATTAGCAAGCAAAAATCAAGCATATAAGCAATCAACGATGCTGCCAATGTGAGGCCACACCATTCCCGGGGATGCCTCCAATAGCGTGATGTCCCAAAACATTGCTTTGAATGATTTCGATCACATAAAAACAAGCCACCAAATCCTAGATTTTGGAGTACATGAAGCACATGGCTTCTTTAGGTGTTCCATCATTTGCTACTAAGGTGCCACCGGTCTTGTTGCGCCGAGGGTTCTGATTGGAAACTGCCTCAGTGGTGATGTTTGTAACAACTGCAAATCGTGTACCAAACGTTCCACTCTTGACAGCTTGATAGATAGAATCCACCTGAGAGTCAACGAAAACATTCCACAGCAACAAAACATTCCATGACTCATAATACATCGCGGCACTGGTACCAAAACACCTCCAATAAAACTAGCATCAATTGGCCACTGAGGCTCCAGGCAGAGTTTCCCATGATCAGAGCCATGGCACTGGAGCTAAGGTCGCAATCGATGGTGGTACTGGGACCCATGATGCCCAATCTTAGCACAAGAAATATCTGGCCACAGCGGCCACAGTGAAGGGAATTCTGGCATCTGATCTGCAAGTCTGCTGTCAAGGCACAAGAATGAGACGCGATTGGAAGTAATGGCCTCAGAAGAAACTTCACTATCCGTCACTATCCCCTCTCAGGAAAAATGTTTGGTACACAATTCTTGTGAGCTGTCGATTCCGATGCCACTTCCGAGCAATCGGAAAATTTCCGGGCGCCATCCTTTGAGGGGGGACCCTCTCTGTTATCAGGTCGGCCTTCCAGTCGAAAATGACAATAGATGAATCATATCATCATATAGAGATGGGTCAAAACCCATCCCAACGCCTTCTGTTCACATCAGCTGGATGTTAATAACTGTTCATCCCACTGCAAATGGTGTATATATATTATATATATATTATATATATATTATATATATATATATTCATTCATTTATAGCTATTGCTCCATTGCCATCATTTCCCCTTTGGTAATCAAACATGGCTGGAAAATCCTCATTTAGTTTGATGACTTGCCCAGCTACAAACCTCCCAGCTATAAACCCATTGAATCACCATTTTTCATATGTAAATCATCTATAAATAGGCCGTTTCCTAGCCATCTTTCATCGTATCATGCTGTCACCACCTGATGCCCCCTTTCGGCTCGCGGCAGTTGAGGCCCCAGTGCCACTGCAGGCACCCACCTCTTTGGGAACGTACCTGGCGTGAAACTAACAGGGTGCCAGGGTCTTGACCCATGGCCCATGCCGGTATTTTGGGCCCAGCATATGAAAAAACCAAACATTTTTTGACTTCAGGATATGTGTATATATATATACAAAAACACATGCGTATATATATATATGTATACATACATATGAATATTATATATATGTGTGTGTGTGGGATACATCAAAATGGGGATGATGATGATCCCATGATATCGATGGGGATAATGATGGGACCCCCAATCAACAAGCAAAACTGAGCACTGAGTACATACCCTGTTTCAAGGAAATGGCCAGAATTGGACCGTATCAACGATGCATTCTCATCATTCTTAATTCTCAACCACAGTAGAATGTCGATATACTGATGATATACTGGATATACTGATGATATACTGGATATACTGATGATATACTGATTTGCTTCCAAGATATTGTGTATCTCTTTGGGCTTTCCAAGCTGGAAAGACACTGCACCAGTCATTGGCTGAGGATCCAACACGAACTCTGGGTTGGTGCCCCCCGTGAAAACGGCAATGTACTGTCGCATCAAGGAGTTCTTCCGGTAGCCTCGGGTGGATCATCTGCATATCACAGATCAACTGATGGGGATTTCACAGCGGATTGCCGCTTAGGACGGCAGAATCTCAGCATTAAACTATAATTAACCAGAATTGCTGAGAGAGGGCTACAGATTTCAATCCATTTTTAGGGTATATAGTAGTATATAGCCCAGGGAGGGAAACCCACTGCAGCCCCCTACCGGCCTGCATTGAAGAGTGCCTCGTAACTCGTTTCCAACACATGGCGCTGTTGTGGGTCCATACCTGAGGCCTGAGCTGGAACTGTGGCTGACCGTGCCCATTTTTCCAAAACGGCAGGTTTGCAGTCCGAAAGTACTCTTGATGAGGTAAAACGAAATATATGAAAATTAAAGGCATACACTCATGCAATCCACAAGTTCCCCATGGCTTTCGGTGGGAAAAGAGTTCCCTGAGACGGAAAAAATATGAAAAAATCATTCCAGCTCACCATGTTCCACTCAACCCCATGGCGATCGCTCACCTCCATATTGGAGAGACCGAAGAATTTGTTGTCAAAGAGTTCAACACCTGCCAAGTACCGGGGTCGGCACCACGGCTAGGGACTTCATTTTAAAAAACACAATGCAAAATAATATCAAATATGCCCCTGGAAATTCGGGTCTTATATTGGATGTGTTCACTTTGAGGGGCCAGATGCGGGGTATTTTTCATTTTGGGATGTGATTCAGCTGGCCCTTCAGCTACGGCCTTCGATGAATTGCACGTGCTTGACACTGGTTTTGATCAGACACCCTGAGCGGCGCCAACGATCTGTGGATGTGGCCAAAACTCCACAGAAATTCCATCGCGTCAACTTGGCATCGCACCGGGTCCAAAATAGATCTGCGACTCCATCCAACAGTTTGGATCTGGGTCATAGATATCACCATGTTCCCATCCTCGGAGCTCTCTCCAGACTAAAAACCCAGTTGGAAAGGAGTTGGAAACCGCATCAATATGTATACTATATGTGTATATATATATGTATATATATATATGTATACATATATATGTATATATATATGTATATATATATATATATGTATATATATATATATGTATATATATGTATATATATATGTATATATATATGTACATATATATATGTATTTATATATATATATATATATGCAGATACAGTATTGTAAGTATAAATATATATATATATACATATCTCAAACTTGACTGGAAATATCTTGTGAAATTCAGCCAAGCAGCGGGTGAATGGCACATCCATCACCATGTCAGTGCCAGTAGCTGTAGCCTTGCGCGACAAAAAGCTCCAAGGAATCATTGTTTATTATGTAGATACATTTATAGGTTATTGTACAGATACATGTATTGCAAATATACCGTAGTCTATATATATATAATGTGTATATACATATAATGTATATATATATATATTGTAGATATATTGTAGATATATGCACGATATATTACAGCTACATATAGTACATTTTCCTCACAGAGATCCACGAGACGTGCCAAGCTGCGCTCCACCAATTGTGGCTATCGCTGCTGGTGGCGTGGTGACCAGCTTGTCCACGAACTGCAATGGGCAGGTGCTCCTTGGAGACGAGGTTGACTTAAAATTTACAATCCTATGATTCGGTGATAAATATATAGATTATATAGTATAGGATGTATAGGATTCAAATTGATGATAGGAATGTAATTGATTTGATATATATATATATATGTATCTTATATTGATTTAAAACTTATGAATTAAAGTCAATTCATGATCAATGTATGACCTTGTGATTTGGTGCAGCCTTCATAGGATTGAGGATAGTCAGCCAGGCTTGAGACCCACACTTTATGCAATTTGCAGTCTTCAATCTTACAAACAGATCAAGAATCTTGGTAGATGTTCTGACCATTCCATTTAAAGTTGTCCATTCCAACCCAGTACACCGTAAGCAAAATGCGGAATAGAGAAAAAAATAGTAGTAGAAGGTACAAAGTGGAATCCATGAGTAATCCATGATGATCATAAATTCATTTGAAGATTCACGCCAAATACATCGAGACTGGAGAATGAGCAAAGAAATCGCCAAGATGCTCCAGAAAAATAGCTGTGTCGCACCATGCGCTCCCAGTCCCGTGGCAGTGGCGCCTGCGGTGGTGTTTGGTTGGAAGGAGGTGGATTCCACCAACCAAACACACCACATCCGGCAAACAAAGAATCAAACAAAAACCGCTGCCATTAAGCAGTTCGTAGCCAGGTCATAACCACTTAATAAGCAGGCAATCACTAGATAATAACCAGCTACATCTGACGAAATCACCCGTGAATTAGGATAGACCCCAGCTGGATCACCCAGTTAATTGTCCGTCATCAGTCCAAACAATGATCTAATCTACATGCTGCTTGAAGTTTTGTAAGTTTCTTCGAAAAAGACACTTCCTTTTTTTTCGTTTGTGTCGTTCAACTTGGTGATTTTCCGCCCAGCCGGGCACCTCTAAAGCCTCCAACTGCTGTGCAGCATGCAAGGCTGCCAGCTCTTCTATGCGATCCTGAGACCATTCCTGCAACTCCTGCGCAGTGCAAGAGTTGCAAGAGTGGAAGCGTCGGGAAACTCACGTCCATTGATGATGGTTGACAATGATTGGCAACACCAAGAAGAACCAAGCATCCTTTCAATCCATCCAACTAATAAGATGTAGTTGTGGGAACCCCAATGCCATAAACCTACCATTTGGGGATGGTTTATACATGTTCATAACACCCATGGGTAAAATTCAGGATTTTACTCATTGATGGTAAAATTGGGGGACATTTTGTTATTGGCTTTACCACCTAAATGATTGTTTATAAACCCATTGATGGTAAAATTGGTACCACATTACAGTAATTACCATTGAATTATCCATTATCCCAATATTTATTATATACATTACATTACATTGAATTATCCCATTGTTTATTATCATTGGTAGCCTACAATAATTTTTGTTCGTGGCTTTACCACACAGTAATCCATCCATCATCCCTCTCCATCTCCCACGTCCTTCACGGCAGGGTTCACCGCGCCAAAGGTGCGTGAGATACCACCGCTCCAGCCCCGTGTGGTCGAAGGTCTAAGACGCGGCTTTTCAGGTCAGTTGGGTTCATCGTTCCATTTCCAGGGAATAGCTGAAAGTAAGAAATGTTGGGTTCATCATGTATATATCTATATGTATATATCTATATGTATATATCTATGTGTATATATCTATATGTATATGTATATGTATATCTATATCTGTATGAATATGTATATGTATATCTATATCTATATGTGTATGTATATGTATATCTATATGTATATCTATATCTATATGTATATCTATATCTATATGTATATCTATATCTATATGTATATCTATATCTATATCTATATCTGTATGTATGCATGTATACATATATATATACATATTTGTATATATCATACAGAGATACATGTTTGAAACCCCCAACCAAATGATTCATCGGGCTTAGTGAAGGCACATATGTCAAAATGGGATTGTCGACAGGACCCACCACTGGATTCCGGTATGATGAGATCCATATTTACGGCCAAGTTTCACTTAGCAACTGGCTTTTGTACTAAAACTCACCAGCAAAAAAGATGATAATCGCATAACACATATATAGAAGGTCCGAAAAAAGGTACCTCCAATGCCTGGTGAAACTTGGTAAAATGGAAAAAGTCCATCCCATTCGCTGAATTCGCTGGAGCTTTGCCAAGAAACCCTTCATCCAAGACCCAGGACACAACTGCAAACATGCCGCGGGTGGAAACCTCCAGCTACGCAGCTACGCTGTCGACCATGAAAGGATGGTGAGAATCGGGTGAAATTGGGGTGAAGTGTGGTGAAAGTTGCCAACCAACAAAACAAACAAAAGAAAAACAACTGCAGTTGGATGGTGGTTTTAGGTGCTTTCAACCTTGACATTGATATGTAGACGCCAGCAGCTTTGATGCTTCGATGCTTCAGTGCCTTGATACGGCCAACGTGGTCCCTATTCCGAAAGACCCAGATCAGACAGATCAGACAGATCAGACAGATCAGATCATCCAAGCCAGGGGCATGTTTGTGCAAGGAGATCTCCGGCTGCAGCATGACCAAGATGTCAGACTCCGTGACGAACTCAATGGACTCCATCTCCTTTATTTAAACTTTATTTAAACTTCATTGGAACAGCAATTCCAAGCCTTACAAATCCTTACAACTGTCATAGCAAATCATCTTCTGGACCAGATTGTGAGTGATTTCAACTTTAATAAGGGAAAAAGTTAAAGTTAGCCTTTCAAGGGCTTTCAAGCGCAAAAGCAAGTCGAAAGCCGCACAAAAACTATCAATGAATGCCCCACAATCCTACCGGCAAGTTTGCTGATGTTTGCTGTCCTCCTCACTAAAAGGCATGATCTCCAGAACTCCTTGGCCCTGGCATCAGAATCACAAGGGAAACCGCCATGGTCACCACGAACAAATCCCACCTTCCTGCTCGAAAGGAAAGCCCCGCCAAGCCTTGCCGAAGAAGTAGATCATCATCATCCTGAAGAAATTGGGCATCCAGCATCGCCAAGGTATAGAAGCTGGCCCATTTTTTCCAGAGTTTCCTAGAAGCTCAACTTCTGCCTTGAAATCTCACCAATTCAACCCACAAGAATCTTCGACCACAGCCTTTACCATGCCTTTACCATGATTTTGGGAACTCCCATGACCCGCCCGTCTGTCGCATGGACTGTGGGTGTCGTCTGTGCCTGGCCCGCGACAAGGTCCGGATCCAGTCACTGCAATCGGCTTCAGTGAGGTCGATCTCACCCTCACAGCCACCGCCTTGAACCAAGTAGTCCTGCAGCGACCGTAAACTGCTGGAGTTCTGGCTCGTTGAAAATGTTGAACACCCAAAATTTAAGGATTCTTTGGATGTTCATACTCCAAAAATGTGGCCAGATGCCGGGATGCCCTGAGATTTCAAGATGATTATTTTCAGCGGATCCCGCACTCTCCAGGTATCCAGAGCAAGTTGGTAAAGGGTGTTAGAGTGGTTCCACGAGAGCATGACAATGAAAACTGGAATTTCGTCCAGGAAACATAAACAGCCGAAATGGGGAGCCCCGAATTTCCAGCACAGCCCGATGTTGCAGCTCCCTAGCAAAGAAAACACCTCGTGCACTGTCAGCACCATACCAAAACTGCATGATAAGTATCATATAATATATCAAGATATATCGGTAGATATATGGCAGTGTGTCAAAACCTTGTTACCCCTGGTGAACATCAAAATAGCTGGTAAATGGATGTTCATCCCCCTAAAAATGGTATTAATAGGTATTGATCCATACCCATATATCAATAGATATACATCAACACTTTGGGAGTGCCCATCCCTATCATCTCAACCAGAACTCCTCAGTCACAATGCCGGTCACTGAGCCCACTTCGCAGGCTGCAAGTGCCGTTTTGGCAAAATCCTGCATCCTGCAGTTTCAGTGTGAAATCCCACTGGAAAATCGAAAAAAAAAATCAAGAAGCAAAATCAACTGCAAATTCAGTTTATCAATAGAATATCAAAATCACCTGCCTTTCTGCCTTACATTGATATGAGTTTATTGAATATCATTGCGAGACGCTGCCTTCGGTGCACTCCGGGGCACTCCCAAACAGGAGTTGGAAAAACTTACCAACAGGATAGCCAAACAGGATACCCTCAAATGATGTGGTAAAGCCAACAATGAACCTACCCTTTGGGGATGGTTCTTACGACCCATCTGTGGTATTAGAGACTTCCCAACCAGGACCATTCAGGTACCGTCCTGCTGCTTGTGGTCACTAAAGACTCTGGGGCTTCAGATTTTGCCAATGGAGCGAAGGCACCCGTGCCGTTGGGACCCAGAAAGCTGTCCTGCGGATTTTGGAGGACTTGGGATACTTGGCATCCAACTTGTGTCTCCATGGGGAACTTCAGATGAATTCAGCATCCAACAATTCGAGGTGTTGAGCCCACAGAATGCCACCCGAAATGCCACCCGTCCAGCAGCTCTTCTGGTGGCGGCTGCAGCTCACCACGTTGCTGGAGATCTTTGGCTGCTGAAGTCAAGCTGTCCAACTGCTCCTGGGATCATGGATCTCAGAGATTTTGCCAGAAAACTGTTCCCTGATTTCACAGTCACAATAAACTATATAACTTATATGACTTGTATAACATATAACATGGCACGCTTGGCAAGATAAAACATGGATACCACTGAAAATGGGAGAATATCAGAATATCCCTATGGTGTTCTTTCCACTTCGGAATGGAATTTCCCCATCCCATTGCAGTGGTCCTTGGAAGAGCCCAGCTTCACGGTGCAATAGCCTGCCAGGCTGCCAGGGAGGAATTTAGTGATCCACAGCTTGTTGCCACACTGAAAAATGTGGAGTTTGATCTATGATCCTGATGATATCCGAAAATCTCAGGCATTTGTTTCAGGAACAGCTATGGCATGCTATGGCTATCCATTGAAGTGGTACCAAGCACTTTGAAGATCGACATCTTGGGATGCTTTTTTGTGTCCAGAAAAGAAATGTTGATAATCATTTTTTGGGGTGAGATGTCATATCCCATCAATATCCCATTCAGATCCCATTCAGATTCCATGAAAAGATCTCATTAATCACCAGCAATTGATATGATCTGCCCATTACCTAAAAATGTCGCTACCTCGGAGTCGTAGAGCATGGCCCAACTCAGAAGCCACCTGCAACGGGTCGCTACTTCTGTACTAATGGCTGATGATCAGCAAAGGGTTGGGTCAAAATTTGTGCCCTGAACCGATGTTTGCCATCGTAGCAAAGCATCTTAAAAATCAGAGGTGTTTTTGAAGATTTAGCCAAACAAAGGTCTATGTTCGCATTGACAAGAATTTCTTTATTTTCTTTGTCTGGAACATGTTGAACTCACCGGCAATGGCTGTGTCATGGCTTTCATATGCTTTCATCAACTCACCGTGACTCACCTGATTCTTTGGCAGGTTGGGGGTTCGCGTGAAGTCCACGTCATGATCCTCGTGATCGACACGGATCGACGATGCCTAAAGGATTGGTGTCGATCATTGCAATTGCCAAATTTCTTGAGCAGGAAAGAAGATAAATCTTCAAAATTTACGATAAATATTTAAAAATTATTTAAAATCAGTCTAGTATAGTCTAGTTGTAGCTCTCACCTTCACCAATCACGTGTTCGTGCGTTGATTTATCTCAAATATCCGCATCGCTTCAACCGATGAGTTCAACCTGTCATGCTTGGACCGCAAGACTTGGCAAAGGGTGCTCGACTGCTCGTTGTGAACCTTTTGGAAGCGACACACTTAGATTTCGTTTTGAATTAATATGAATGAAAGTAGGATACCCAGTTACCAATGTTACCAGTTGCAATTTGACTTAGTGATAGGTTGATAGTGGGTCGATCCAGTCGATCCAGTCGACTTCTGCCCAGCAGCCCGCTTCTTCGGTTTCATCTTGCCATGACAGCGCTGCTTGCCGCGCCGCAACGCGCCGCGCCCCCAGGGGTCAACTCTTAAAGTTTTAAAGGTTGCCCAGTTGCCCTGTGGTTTACCATGGTTTACCAAACATACTTGTTTAGACTACTTAGACTACCTCAAGCCACAAACGAAGCCTTTTTATGCCTTCTTCTGTTCTCATTTCTCAAAGTACGATTTACATCTCCGCAACTCAGACATGTAATAGACAGTGAGATCAAGGCTGCGTTGTTTCACTCCACTGCTCTGCAAACTCATTGTAGTGTGGCCATGGCGATGTTTGTTTGGAAAATTGTTTCATGTGTGTTTTTCAGGTGGAGCCATATCTCCTCCAGTTGAGCCGTCACGCATTTCCAGGCTTGATGTTCTAAGATGTTGCAAGTGGCAAGATGATTTTTCCAAGGATATCATTGATATGAGTGTGTCTAAAAATGGTATACCGGTATACCCATCCAGTTATGACCATTGACTGAGAAAATAATGATAGACCATTGGATTTAGGGGTACCCTATTTTCAGACAAACCCATATCACAGCTCAAAAAAAGACCGAAGCCACAGCCGATCCCCGGGATCCCCCGGGGATCCCCCGGCAGGTCCTCACAAAAGGCCTCCAACTGAACACCCACGAACTGCTTGCAGAGATCGGGGCCCAGGGCCTGAAACTGCTGCAGTGCCACGATTGTCACCTGGCTATCCCATGTCCCTCCTGGTGCCGCTGCCTCTGCCAAATGACCAAGTAATTGCACCGCCATGCTCCGTGCATCCTGTGGCACACACGCAGTGCATGCTTTGTTGGTCTTATCCCAACGTTTTTTCCAATGGTTTTTTTCATGCTATTTCCAATTGAAACTATGGGTTGAATTGGTGCTAACCATCCTTGGGGGTCACCAAGTTTGGAGGACGTAGCCTTTTACAACACGTACAAGTCTTATATATTCTGAAATAAGCATTTATCTGGCTAGCGACTTCGTTATCCATGGTCGGAGTTCGATTTCATGGTCCTATGGCCTCCTGATTTCCCCACATCACGTGGCTATGATTCTTGGTAAACTCGGAGTACCTGTTTGGACCGACAAATGTTTGATGATGTTTAGGATTGAAGCAGCCATTTTCGAGTTCTCATGTTGACCCATCCCTGCGCTCAATCCATGATGCAACTTGGGGTCCCCAAGGGGTGCCTCATCATCGTTGCTTTGCGACAGAGAGATCACAGGCATCAAGACCTGGCCAAAATCATGACATGGTCAGGCATCAGGACCCTATCTTTGACCATCCTTGACCGCAAAATGGAAAAATTCATTCAATGACATTCCAATATCACCAAAAGATCGTGCCAACAGTTCTAGGGATCTACTCAGCGAGAAAAAACACAAAAGAAAATGGGGAAAATAGGGAACATATCATCAGCAGAGACATAGGATCTCAGGAACTAGAAATGCATATGACAAATTAAAATGGATATTCAACGAAAAGTCAAAGAACTAACAACAAATATTTACCAACAAAAAACGAAGAACCAACAACCGATATTTATCACCAAAAAGTGCCTGAAACCCACAGCCAAACTGAGGAGAGAGATGCTTTGAAAAAGCTGGGCAAGTGTTTCTTGCTCCAACCCAGCACATCTTGCAGAGAAATTCTGGGTTCCCAATTTGAGCCAAAAAAAAAGACAACCGTATAATATTGTAGTATCTTCGCAATATCTTGTACATTAAAAAACATATCAATCATCAATATTTATCAATCAGATTGATATCATTACCTCATAATCCTCATATAATTGCCATAGATTTGTCTCACTTTCCCGCGACGAAGCATGGGGCGAAGCTCACCTGATCCCCACAGTCTCCAGGCCGCAGATGAGAAGCCAAGGTGACAAACGCATCCATGGCACTTTGTCTCACCTCGGTCGAAACACCAGATACCATTGGAACCATATTTGTTGATGGAGATACCAGATATATCCAGATATATCCAGATATATGGATATACCAAACAATCCTTAAATATATGGAGAAATTGAGATTTATACTGGCTGGTTAAGAACGGATTTCTCAGTTCATAGATTGGAATCATCCCAAATGTGCTGGATAGTCTGACTGTATAACCCCATTGCCATACAAGAATCAACCAAAAAGGATCCAAGAGGGGTTTTGAATCTCTGTTCAATTCTTATGGAGATACCAACTATATAGAGATATCAATGGATATCAAATATCTGAAGATACCAGAAACATCCGGAAAACCATGGGTCGGGAATCAGCAGTCTTTTGTAGTGGTTTCATTTCGGATCTCCACTTGTCTCAAACCCTGGATCTTCCCAGGTTTCATCTGAGGTGCATCAACAGCCTGTTCTGATAGAAGCATCTTAGCGGTTGGGAGAAGTGTTCGCGCAACCTGTGGTCGGGGTGGCAGGGACTGCATCATCAGCGCTTTCATATGCGCAAGTTCTATCTGGGGGAAGCATGAAAGTATGTCGGATATTCCAGGATGATTGGGCTAATAGCAGAAATAACATACTCTTTGATGCGTTGATTGGATATATTTGGATAGTACAGTACATGTGGCCACAAAGTCACAAACGTGACAAACAAAAAAAAACTGCACAACATTGGCACAACATCGGCACAACTGCCCACTACATCGCCTTCTCGTAGCCTTTCTCCGGGTCCGATTGGATCAAGAAACCTGCATTGGCATCAACTGGCCGTATCGTGGTTATTAAAGTGATTGATTACCAGTAGTACCGCACAAGGCGGTGGCGGAAGTTTCAAAAACAGGAAACCTATAGGAGAAGTTGGTTGTTGTGAATCAGGGATGGCAGAGCGAAGCCGCTGATGGACCGAAAGGTGGTTGAGGTCTCCTCTCTTTCTCTCTCTTTCTCTGACTATCTACCTACTTACCTATCTATGTATGTGTTTATCTATCGATCTATCTCTCTCTCTCTCTCTTTCATCTGTCTATCTGTCTAGCTGTCTACCTGTCTATCTGTCTATCTATCTATCTGTCTCTCTCGCTCTCTCTCTCTTTCACTTTTCTATCTCTCTAGCTGTCTACCTGTCGATCTTATCTATGTCATCTCTTTCTCTTCTACTCTTCGACGGGTGCAAAACCATTTATCTAGCTGTCATCTCTTTTCTCTTCTACTCTTTAACATTTTGACTTGGAAATGTGCTTCGCGCCACAACGGCGTGCGCTTTTTCAACATCTCAACTTCCAAAAGTGGTCCGAATGTGGTGTGCTTTGTACATTTTTGCTTGGAAATGTGCTTCGCGCTACAACGGCGTGCAATTTTTCATCTCTCCTCTGGCCAGCTGGCTCCGCACCCGCCGCTTTAACAAGCCTACTTTTCGACCCTCCGGAGCCACAAATCATTGGAAAAACACAGTGAATCGCGACTTTCCTACCGTTTCGCGCATCTCCATCTTCTTGCTTCTTACTCTTTCTCTTCTACTCTTCTCTCTTCTGATCTTTCTCTTCTCTCTGCCTCTGCCCTGCTCTGCTTTTCATCTGTCCATATTGTCGGAAGTTTGACTTCTAATCTTCCGCTGGTGTGTTTTGTGCATTTTCACTTCGAAATGTGCTTCGCGCCACAACGGCGTTCACTTTTTCGACATCTCAAGTGCCAAAAGTGGTCCGAACCCCTAGTGTTTTGTACATTTTGACTTGGAAATGTGCTTCGCGCCACAGCGGCGTGCACTTTTTCGACATCTCAACTTCCAAAAGTGGTCCGAAGCTAGTGTGTTTTTAACATTTTGACTTGGAAATGTGCTTCGCGCCACAACGGCGTGCACTTTTTCGACATCTCAACTTCCAAAAGTGGTCCGAACCCCTAGTGTTTTTAACATTTTGACTTGGAAATGTGCTTCGCGCCACAACGGCGTGCACTTTTTCGACATCTCAAGTGCCAAAAGTGGTCCGCATCCCTAGTGTTTTTAACATTTTGACTTGGAAATGTGCTTCGCGCCACAATGGCGTGCACTTTTTCAACATCTCAACTTCCAAAAGTGGTCCGAATGTGGTGTGCTTTGTACATTTTTACTTGGAAATGTGCTTCGCGCTACAACGGCGTGCAATTTTTCATCTCTCCTCTGGCCAGCTGGCTCCGCACCCGCCGCTTTAACAAGCCTACTTTTCGACCCTCCGGAGCCACAAATCATTGGAAAAACACAGTGAATCGCGACTTTCCTACCTTTTCGCGCATCTCCATCTTCTTGCTTCTTACTCTTTCTCTTCTACTCTTCTCTCTTCTGATCTTTCTCTTCTCTCTGCCTCTGCCCTGCTCTGCTTTTCATCTGTCCATATTGTCGGAAGTTTGACTTCTAAACTTCCTTCGATTAATTGAATAATGAATTCAGTGCTTACTGTAATGACGATTGATGATTAATTTGAAGCATTGTCAGCTAAGAGACGAGACAAGCTGCCCAGACTTTGCCCAACATCAGCCCTCATCAGCTATCATAGCCGTACCATGACCCATATCCTTCGTGCGGCGTATCCAGCAACCCTGCCTGCTAAGTCGCCAAAATGCTGCATCAGAGATTGTCGCACCAAGACCTGCGGAGTCGCAGAAAAGCTGGAAACCTGGAAATTATGGGGCAAACATCATCTGTAGAAAAGATTCCACTCTTTGGAAAGTTAAAATGCGGCTCTCCTCAGGATCTGAAGCCATGTTCTGCACCAAGGGCCTTGCATGTCGTGGGTCCAAATGGTCCAAATGTGCCAAGACATGGCCGAAACGCCATGTTTATCGATGGTGCTCATGGTTTCATCATGGTTTCGATGTCAATCCAAAAGATCCAAAAGTCGATGGGTCCATTTCCACGCCACTCAAAAGAAGTTCGCCAAGCTGCAAAAGGTAATGAACGGTGGCATCATAACCTGCGCACTGCAAAACGTGAACCCACGGCAACGATCTGTCTTGCTGGCTGGATGAAATCATGTCTTTTCTGCAATACGAATAATCACCAACACTACAAGTATTGCATAACATTCCGATGTATGTAACTGTGTATTTATCTACTTAAAAGAACTTAAAAGTACTCCCGAGGCTGTCTGGGCATGTCTCAAACCCACATCCCGCCATCTGTGCCATCTGCGGCATCTGCGCCTACGTCATGTGCACATTCCACCAGCTCTTGCACAAAAACCAGGCGCTGCCTGAGCGAGACTTTAACATGGGCTTCAGATCGCCTTGCCTTGGCTCCCAGGCTCCCAGGCTCCCAGGCTCCCAAGCTCCCAGGGCTGACTTTTTCTTCCAACTTCAACTGTTCACTGTGCATAGCACAAGTTGTCTCCTATACTCCTAGAACCTACACTAGCTTGCATGAGCAAGCCAATCTCGCGGCCGAACTGTACATGGCATCGCAACTGCGCAATGGAAAAGGCCAGGGACGGTCAACTCTTCACAAAGCCCCGGCACTAAACATCTGTGATCCAGTGATCCAACGAAATCCCTTAATTTCACTTGCCTGGTCACAGACCGACATGACATGCATGGCCTTGGCACTTGGCACTCTACTCGCACAGCCGCTAGAACTATAGAGAAGCGACTTGTGGGAAAGAAGAGATGGCCAAAAACGAATTTCCCTTGGCCGGTCACGCCAGGTGCCAACAGGTGCCAACAGGTGCCAACTATGACAGCCATGAAATCGGTGACACCGGTGCAGTATTCCAGCAAGCTGCCAAGTAGGGGTACTTCGATGAATTCAGACAGGCGTAGAACTTCAGTTGAGAATGTCCTGCCAAAGAGTTATCAACAAATGAGGTTAAGACATTGGGGTACCTGTTGAAACCATTTGGAGCCCAGAACTGGTTTGTTTTTTAGGCATTAAATAGCATTAAACAATCCTTTTCTGGGGGGTGTGGACAAGCCACCTTCTTCACATGGCCTGTCAATCATCCACGTCCACATCCATCAGCTTGCCAAAGGCCTGCCGCAGTGGGGGAGATCTCATGCCTATTCCATCAATAGTAATATCTCACTATTTTTTGGAGACTTAATATCGGATGATATTATTGCTGTTGTCATTATTATTGTTATTGTTATTGTTATTATTAGTGCTATCATTATCTTCTTATTATCCTTATCCTATTATATAACACTTTCCTGATATCATTTCCTATAACTTTCCCTCTTTGAAATCCGCCCGCACCGAAGGTGCTGGGGCGTGATCTTCCGGATGGCACTCGTAAAAGGTTACAGGTTTACCTGGGGGGGGGGGGGCATTTTTCGGCCAAAACCTCCTGTTTTTGATAGGTCGTGACGCTCGCCTTCAAAAAACACTGTAAAAAACAGTACGGAAGACACCTGTTCGTGAACGCGCCCGTCCAAAATCGGCAAGCGAAAAGTGAAAAAAACCCCGTGTTTTTCAACTTTTTGACCTCAATTTTTTGGTTTGCAACATCTTTTTTTGCGGTTCCGCAGGTGGCCTGGGCCCGGAGGCGGATTTTTGAGTTTTTGGACCCGTTTTCGGACTGATTTTCGTCGTTTTGTGATAGCAGAAACATTGGTTTTTACAGTGTTTTTCTGTTTTCTGCATGCTTGACGGCTAGCTTCAAAACTTCCAAAAACCTCGTAAATTACGCTGTTTTATGTTACGGTGTGAATGAAAACATCGTAAATACCAGTGTTTTTTGACGTTGGTTAAAAAAACACTGTAAATTACAGTGTTTTTGGCCACCTGACCCTCAAAAACAATGGTATTTGCAGTGGTTTCTGCTTCTCACCGCGCAAAAACACTGTAAATAACAGCAATTTCGCCGTTTTTTCATGTTTTTCGTTATTTTTTGAACTGCGTTGGTCCGCTATACATGGCTCAAATTCTTCGCGTTTTTTTTTCCGACAATCAGTACTTTCGGATGTTTTTGGTCTCAATGGCCGACATCATTGGCAGTTACGAGTGGCTGCCCAACGATGCGGTGCGGG